AGGAGACAAAGATGTGGAGTAATTGCCCACCAACCAGGATGGTATCCCCTGAAATATTCATACTTCTGATTCATAGCTGTTTGGAGTACAACAATACATTTGCAGCATTGATACCAATTCTGCAAGATGCCATAGGGTTTCTTCATGCCTACAGGGTACACTGAACACAAAGCTGCTTAAAACACTGGTTACATTTCAAGTGACAGCATGTTAAGAGATGGAACAATGAGAAAGAGAGACATCATTGACATGGAGGTTCTGGAAACCACCCAAATACATAAAAGGACAGGAAGGCAATGTTGAACAGAGGAACTTATACTGTGGGACTACTGTGAAAATACATAAATTGCTGACATATCTGTGCTTGAGAAAAAATGTAATAAGATAAGGAAGACACATTCCAAAAAAAGAAAAAAAAGATGAGCACTGGGGAAGTCAAAGGATTGGCTGGATTACACTATTTTAAGCAGGAATGCTCAAGACTTTGTGCATTTGTGGGTCCGTTAAATTTTTGCCGTCGGGTGACTTTCTGTATCAGCGTATTAATGGGAATCAGAATATTGGTCCATCCAGTAAGTCACTCTGCAAATCTTCACTTACGGTATATAATTCTTGCATGCAAGAACACTTAATTTCATTTTTAAAAATATATTTTTAAACATATATTATATAATTTGTCTTGTATCTTCCATTTACTTCTCACATATCAACCATGTATAACATTTAACACAACATAAATTATTTCAGCTTAAAGAACAAAATTGTATAATTTATTCCTTCCCAGAAAAAATGAAATTCATCTTTACTGCCAAGCTAATCATATGTTGACTACCCAGAAAAGCATTAATTATTTATAATATAAATATTCTTATTTTGATACATACATAATCTCTCTGCCTTTCCCTAGTCTTTTTCTTTTCTTATGGGCTTCTACAGATTGGCCCAAAGGGCAGGCCTGGAGGCAGAGATGGGGACGGACAGCCGCACGCTGGCCGCCCCAACCCCACGCTGAGGACATCTTGACGCTGCGCACCTTTACACATGGTGCACAGCTTTAGGATGTCCTTCTGGCACAGCGAAGGGGCGCTAAAGAGCCACGCGTTGGCTCTTAGGGTGGCCTTTTGCCGTTTGTAAAAGGAGCGGCATTTTGCCACTCTTGTCTGGGCAGCAAAAGGGAGGATCGGGGCTGCTCAGTCTGGTAGCCTCAGCCCCAATCCGCTGTCCCTTTGGGCCCGTCTGCAATAAATTTTATCCCCACTATGCAAGAGTACAAGGGTTTCTGCCTAATTTTTAAGGCACAATTCAAAGATATAGCTGTGTTAAGGGCTGTTCAGACAGGCAAAAATAGGTTCTTTCAGGCTGACTTGGAGGTGTGTCATTTAGATGACACACGCCTAAAAGCCAGCAGGAAAGTGCCTTCTAGGTGCTGTATGCTGGGAAAAGCCGCTCCAAAAAGAAGCAGCTTTTTCCCTGTTTCTTCTGGAAAGATGCACACTTTCGCACATCCGTATGTATGTAGGGACACCGGTGCATCAAAAAAAGGGTGCCGGGGATTTTAAATGGCCATATAAATGCACCGCTTCAAGTGCAGCAGAAATTGAATTGGTGATCCAGAGCATGCGTCCTACAATGCAGGCTTTAATTTAAAGCGCCCTATGCTTCCAGGTGTGGATGCACCACTGCAGGTGCACTTTAATATTAGAACCCTAACTCTAATTGTAACCCTATGCACATGCCCTAGCAACTGTTCTCTTTTATGATAATAAATACATTGCTGTCAGCATGCACAGTAGTTTGAATGAAAGAGCCTTTTGTGTGACCTCTTCTGTGCAGATGTGCAGGCGTGCATAAGACCTGCACACCACTTCCTGACATGCTTGGGGGTGGGGGTTCCTAGAATAACATTTGTCTGTGTGTCCTGTTGACCATGTCTCTTGCATGACCACCAGCTACATGTATCCAGTCTGTCCACACAAACCTCCCTTGCATGTACCTCTCCCCTTCACCCTGATCTGTGTGGGACATGTTTTGTGGAGGACGAAGGAATAGGTGTCTTTTTGGTTGACAAATTAATTTCTCCACCCCAAGGGTGGCACAATCAGATAGTGGCACCTGTCTACGGCACCCACTACTTGGGGGAAGCCAAGGTCAGTGAATCCTTGCATGATCTGTAGGTGTATGACAGATCCTGTGCAGGTGCACAGGGATGCTGAACATCAGTCACCTTTGTACACAGAGAATGACAGACTGTATGACTCTGCGCATGTATGCAAGTGTGCAGGGATGTGTTCCTGTGCACATGCACATGTGTCTGAGAGAACAAAAAAATTAAAGCAGCCACTGCCAGACTGTGCAGTTGCTCCATCTCCCTTCGTGGCATCCTTGGGGCTGGCAGTGTGGTTGGTGGGGCTTCAATATGGCCTCAGAAAAGCCACATTGACTGCTCCCCAATGCAGTTGCTCCATTCCCATTTAGGGCATCCTCAGGGCAGGTGTTGCAGTTGCTGCAGCATAGGGAAAAGGCAGCTTCATGTCAACTTTTTCTGCCCATCTGTATAGCCCCTTAATCTGTAGAATCAGTATGTAGAGAGATCTTGTAGCACCTTTGAGACTAACTGAAAGAAAAAAATTGGCAGCATGAGCTTTCGTAGACTTCAGTCTACTTCTTCAGATACTTCAGGACTTCATTGGGAAACTCATTTATAAAATACACTGTAACACTTCCATTGTTCTTTAAAAGGACGCATTCATGCTCGGCAACTTTTCAGAGATGTGAACCAGGAAACATGCAGCCAAGCAACATCAGAGGACGTTTTCACACGGGGCTTTGGTGGAGGCAATCCTACCTCCCGCCGGCCCCATTCCGGAATGGTTCCGGCGGCGGCAGGCTAATTCCTTTTAAAAGTCGGAAATACCTTTCCGCCGCTGAAGCCGGAGTTGGAGGTGCTGAGGCCGGAGGGGCGCCGGAAGGACGCCGGACTTAAGGCTCCGTGCGTTTGAACACACGGAGCTAGAAGCCGGATGTACGCAGGGATGGCACCGGAAGGGGCGGGGTTTTCTGAGACGTGCGTCTGAACAAGCTGGAAGAGGAGCCGGAGTGGGGCCGGCGGGAGGTAGGATTGCCTCCGCCTAAAGCCCCGTGTGAAAACGTCCAGAGTGTGGTCAAGATGAGGAAAGTTATTAATAAAGAAGAACTGACAAGCTAGAAGAGGCTGCAGGAGTTTGCTTTTGCCTGAGCCTCCTGGAAAGAGGAAGTTTGTGCAACTCCTATCATCTCTCACCAAACTATTTTTGCACTCTGATCTCAATTTGCAGGAACTGAAGAAAGTTAAAGACAAAGGTGAAAAGTGTAAGAGGAGGAGGGAGAAAACAGGACATATTAAAAGCAGCTGAAAAAGAGGGATGAGAGAAGATTAATCGAGACTGTCTCTGCCAAATCAGGGCAGTTGAAGAGTATGTGTTCTCACTTTTCTTCATAAATGAGTTTGGAAATAAACCTCATTTTCAGCCTGGTGGAATTTAAATGAGAAACAATTTCATGTACAGAGGATGCATATTGAGATTCTTCTGACATTAGCCACTTTCAAAACTTTGAAAGGAATATATTTGCAAGCATACTGTAAGGTTTTGCATTTCCCTTGCTTTCTAACACTAATTTATCTCCCTGTGTGTATTAAACTCTGAAGGGAAAGGCAGGATTTGTGCTAAAGGGATTAAGAAGGCACAAAACCAGGGACAAGATGATTTAGATGAAGACAGACAATACAAACCAACTCAAATAAAATAAAGAACGGGGGAGGAGAGCAACATAACTGAAGGGCAGAAAGAGCCAGCAGAGCAGAAAAGACTTTTAAACAAAGTAATATGAAGAAAAATAAACTCTGTGTGCCTGCACAGTAGCTCCAGAGAGTGTTAAAACTGGTTAGGCTCTGTACAATGGATTCATGTGAACATTTTCCCTCACGGCTATATCACTTTCTGTGACTTTCCATGGTCAATCCAAACTATAGACTACAGGCATCCCTCAGTTAACAAAGCCTAGCCCAGCCTCCTTTTTTTGTCTTCTGTCTAGCCAGAAGTTTCTTTGCAGCATTGGTATTGGGAGATCACCTAATAAGGGCCTCTGCAGATGGCGCAAAGCACCATCTTGGAGGCAGGAGAGGGGAGGCGCAGCCGCACGGTGGCTGCTTCAACCCTTCCCTATCATCAGGGCACGCACCGTTACGCATGGCACGCGCCCTGAATACATCCTCCTGGCACAGCGTCTTCACGCACTGCAATGGAAGAGACGCAGAAGAGCTGCATGTCTGCTCTTCCAGCGCCCTTTTTGCCACTTGAGAAAGGAGCAGCATTTTGGTGCTCCTTTCCCAGGTACCAAAAGGGTGGATTAGGGCAAAGGCATGGGGCAGCCTTGGTCCCGATCCTCCGTTTCCCTGGGCAGCTGAAGGCTGCCCATTTGCAAAGCCCCTTAGTTTCCAATTTCCACAAACCCTAATCTCCAGAGTAATGCTCAAACCACCCTATTAACAAGAGCATACTCGCATTCTCTTTGCAAGAATAACTTAATGACTGGTGTCATCTTGATGTTTTGAATGTAATAAGTAGCATGTGTGCTATAATTAGAAGAGCCCTGGTGGTGCAGTGGTTAAATGCCTGTACTGCAGCCACTCACTCATAGACCACAAGGTTGCGAGTTCAATACTAGCCAGGACTCAGGCCTACATCCTTCTGAGGTTGCTAAAATGAGTACCCAACTGTTTGGGGGCAATGAGCTTACAGTTGTAAACCGCTTAGACATCCCATAGTAGTATATAAGTAAGTATATAAGCAGTATATAAATGAAGCTGCTTTGCTTTGCTTTAATTTTCTCCATTACTTTGTAGAGACAAAAATACTTTTGGAGGCATTTTGAGGCATTTTCCCTCCAATCTTCATCCATTTTCTTAACTTTGGAGTGGATTTCTTTCCAATGTAAAGAAGCACTAATTTACAATTATTACAGTCAGTGTGGCATAGTGGTTTGAGTGTGGGACAATGATTTGGAAGATCAGGGTTCAATTCCCATCTCAGCCATGAAACCCACTGTGTGACCTTGGGAAGTCACATGCTCTCAGCCTCAGGGGAAAACAATGGCAAACTCCCTCTGAACAAATATTGCCAAGAAAGCTTAGAGTTGCCAAAAGTTGGAAATGACTTGAAGACACACAACAACAAGTAACAAATATAGATGAAGTAATACAAGGTTATTTGTGAAAAGTTAGAAAAGGTGGATAACCAGTTACCATTTGGGGCTTTTAAGTTAGATAATGAATTACATTTAAAAGTAACTTTCCAAGGTCTGTTTGGGATAAACATGAGACTAGTATGAACTTTTCCCACTAGTATGAACTTTTCAAAATTAGAACTGTCTTTGGAGGCGATAGATTCTGCTTTGCTGGAGGTATATGATAAACAGAGATCTGTCATAAATGCTCACAAAATTCCTGGGAAGGATCATCCTGTACTCTGCTTGAATTAAATAGAATCTACTGCCTCTCTAAAATGGAATACTCCAGTGAATTATTTTAAGCCTGAAAATCCCAAACAGATCCTAGCAGCAGCTTCTGATCCAATAAAAATCATTCCTAAACAAAAAGATCAGCCTTCACAGATATGAAATAAATCCACTATATGATTTCAGGGGTTGAAAATCTACTGTGAAAGAAAGGTTGTACCATACCTCATCAAGCAGGAAGCTGGAATATATGTCTCACCTAAAAGCCATTCCTTTTTTCATAAGTTTTTTCTTTCTCTCAGTGTGGTTGGAATGAGTTATCAATAGCAATTGATATTGGTGTTTCTTATTGGATTACTTTAGAAACCAGCTTTATAATAACCGTGCAAATATGGGCTTGAATAAAAGCAATCATAGCAATCTGCCATTGGTTGCCAGACTGAATTTCACCAGATGTTGCTTGCAACTAGGCCATCAAGCAACTCCTGCTGAAATTCCCCCTTCTGAACAACCATTAAAAAAGCGCCCTGCATTTTTAATGCTGGCATCCCTGAGTATGTCAGGATATCTGCCATCAATAGTAATAATCTCCTAATTGTATGTTCTTAAGGATTTTCTGTCTGGTTATTCAGTTAGCCTTTCTCTGTACTGCCAAACCATTCAAATGCAAGCAAAAGCAATAGCATTTTCATTTCTGTACTGCTTAATAGTGAACTCAGCACTCTTTAAGCAGTTTATAATCTGTAAACCAGGGATTGGCAACCTACGGCCCGGACTGGCCCCTGCCAACCCTCGCCGCCGCCCCCGCCAAACCACACCACCGCACGCATCGCGGCCGCCATTTTGTTTTCCAAAATGGCGGCCGTTACTCGTTTGCACATGTGCAGTACTCCGGAAGTGCTGCACATGCACAAGCAAGCAAGCACACCGCCATTTCCCCCAAACTAGGTACTCATTTACCAACCTACGAAAAGATGGAAGGCTGAATCAACCTTGGAGTCCTGAGATCAAACTCAAAACCTTGTGGCTCCAGTACTGACATTTAACTACTGACCCACCAGGGCTCATACTATCTTGGGAGATAAAAATATTTGTCTTATTTGGCTCAAGCCAGCCTTGGTTGCCACTTCTTGAAGTAGCACACTGCCTACTGTAGACCTGCACAACTTAAGAACCACTGCCAAAGCCAACCCACCAACACCAACTATGTATAGGTAGCCAACCACTAGTAGTTCTGTGTTTGCTTAACTTATCTGGAAGAAAACATGTTGTGGTATGGTTAACAGGCTGCACTCAGCATGGTAGGTTTACATGTTTGTTTTCTCTTTTTTCCAGTGCTAGTCATATTTCCTTTTGATATCGTTCATGAAGAGCCCTGAGAGAACAAACCAGGTGACTTCTTGGAATAACAAAAGTGAGCTCTGTATGAGAAGACTTGTCCAGGCCCAGACATGACAGGTTGGGAATTTCCCCCCCCACACCCCGCTATCAAAACCAGCATTATTCTTTTAGAGTATGCCTCAGAATGCTTCTAATCCTGTGACTCCAATTGTTATGAGAACTGCTACTCAGAAGATGGCACCCTTGTTTGGGGACAACTGGATGATGCCCCTGCAGGGAGGAGGTGTTACATAAGCAATTCCTCCATTGAGGAAGAAGTGACACTAATTCCTTTTGCTTAAACTGCTCTGCAGTTCACATTTGCTTCCTTCTCAACTGACCTGAGGGCTGCTAACTCTCAGCCACATCTCCAGGGCACTTGCCTATTCCATCTCACTGCACTTGCTTTGTTTGAGAAGGGTGCCAGGAACTAAGGCTCTTTCTCCCCCTACTGAAGAGTTTTTAAAGTTCTCCAAAACTTAGACTAAAGAGAAATTCTTTAAAAGTTCAAAGTGGAGGACAAATAGGTTGCTGGGAATGGACTCTCAACACCAGCTTCAGATATCTGTCTAATTAAGAAAATTCACATTCAAGGCGCCAGGCAAATCCGTATCTCTTAAATGAAAGAAAACTGTTGTCAAGATTCTGTTGTCTATGGCAGGAGTAGGCAACCTTTTTGAACCGGGGGCCGAGTTGCTGTCCCTCAGACAATTGGGGGACCGAAGCACCGAAAATAAATAAATAAATAAATAAATAAATAAATAAATAAAAATTTAAAAATAAAAAATATATGCGTGCACACTCTCTCAGCCCCAGAAAAGCCATGGCAAAACCCCTGTGGAGATTTTGCCAAGAAAACCCCAATAACAAATAATAACAACAATAATCAATATCATCATGGTGGGCGACGGCAGCAGTGGCAAGACCAGCCTGGGGCCAGTCCAAAGGCCTTGAGGGGCCGCATCCGGCCCCTGGGCCTTAGGTTGCCTACCGCTGGTCTATGGAGTGTCCCCAAATTTTAGTGACCACTAGACCCACAGAAGCTTAACTCCTATCTTCCCCTGGGAAATCAAGGATATTCTAACTTGGGGAGTGATGGAAGTTGTGATCCTGCACTTTTCAAGGGTGTTCGCTGGGGGAAATTATTGTAAGAAATCTAAGGCACTCAGAGAAACTGTATAAAAAATTGAGACCCATTGTTTTATCTATCAGATACATTAAGAGATTACAAACTAACTAGAAGGCATTTTAAAAAAAAAATTCATGTAAGTACAAACAAAACATGTGGATGATGAGAAAGTAACCAATGACCAAACAATATATGATGCAGAAATCTGTGGTCAGATTTCTCTATCCTTTAATATAAGGAATGCTTCTTATGATCCAACACGTGGCAATATTTGTGAGCATTGTTTTTAAAAAGAATGTGTGAGAATGGAGATGTTTTCTCTCAGGGTTATTGATTATTCAGTGATCTACTTCATCTGCCTGCAGCCCAGTTATGACAATAGTTAAATTCCATGAGACATGTATGGTGAATTACCATAGATGTAATGAAAACCATTAGCTTGAACAACTACAAAGAATGAGATACAAAGGTCTAGTAGTTATGATGGATATATTTTATTTTCGGTATCATAAGGTTACCAGATCCCTGAATCCCCAGTTTTGGTGGGCTAAGTTCCAGGCAAAATGAAAGGGTTGTGTGCAAATCTCCATCTCAGTTAGGAGAGCAGCATGGTACAAAGTGCAAGGGTTAATGGATTTGTTACTTCAACTTGCAAAGTTTCTTGGGGAGGAGGCAGGGTCTATGTATTTACTAAGGACCTTATCACACGGGGCCAAAAGCAGCAAGAATCCACTAAGAATCAGGCGCTATAGCGCTATACATTCCCGTGTGATTACACGACGTCGCTCAGAATCCGCTAAGAATCAGGCGCTATAGCGCTATAGTTTTCCGTGTGATTACACGACGTCGCTCAGAATCCAGCAAGAAACCGCTCGGAATGCAACATCATTCGCATTCTTTTGAATGTTGGTTTCAGCGGGCATTGCAATAGCGCGAGCTTATCCATAGCACTATTATAGCGCTAGCGCCATATTTATACTAGCGCTATAGTACTGCAATGATGCTCATATCGCTTTCTTGCCACTTTTGAGAGCAGCGTGGGATAAGGTCCTAACTTAGCTTCCTTCTTCCCTCTCAATTATTAAGGCCCCAAGTCTTAGGGCCTCGGCAGACGACTAATAGAGTCGTCTTGGAGGCTTGGAAGAGGAGGGGCAGCCGCACGTTCGGCGCCCCTTCCTCTCCTCTCCCTGAGGTCGCCCTCGGAGTCGCTGGCCCTCCGCACGGCCGGCGCTCCGGGGAAGACCTCACGCCGCGGCAGCGGAAAAGACAGCGAAAGTGCGCCCGCCGCTGTTAGTGCGCACTTTCGCTGTCTTGAGGAAGGAGCGCTGATTTAGCGCTCCTTCCAGGGTCGCCGCCGGTGCGCCGAGGTGCGGAGGCTGCGGCCCCGCGGCGCGCCGGCCCAGGGCGTCTGGGAAGCTCTCGTCTGCTTCCCCCCTTACTCTCCACTCTGCTCTGCATCCATCTTCTGGCTAGAAGGAAGTAGACTAGTTACCCCTAAGTCAGTGAGAAAGAATAATTCCCTCATTCCATCCTGAACTGGGAATAACCTATTAACAAAGATTTCTCTTAATTTCCAAACAGAAAAATTTGTGTGTGCAAATTTCTCTCTCTCTCTCTTTCTCTCTCTCTCTGTGCATTTGTTTGGATGACAAGATGTGAGCATCAGTGGTTGATACTGAATGCATAATAGTTATTGACATTGCCAGGGACAATCCCTAGGTCCCAGGTTTTGGCCCAGAAACTTCAGAGCCCAAGATCATCCTGACCTGGCAACTTGAAATGGAGCAGACCTCTGAAGAGCAGTTGCTAGGGAAAATAAATGGAAAAATGCTATTGCACTCTTGTCCTTGTTATGAGTTTGTCAGAGACATCAAGTCAGCCTCAGTTGGAACAGAAAGCTGTTTGAGGTCACAGGTTTGAACCAGCACAGGTCCGCCCTACATTCATATGTTCTTGCATCATTTGGATCAACTTTCATTTTTAATCTTAACAGTGGATACAAAATTAATCTTTGAAATATTCAGCAACATAGAATCATAGAATCACAGCATTAGAAGAGACTACAAGGGC